TACAATTTTCCATCCTTATTACCCTCTTTCTCTTATGTTTCAGCATTTAAGATAAAAAAATTTAAAAACCTTCAGTTTAATATTTTTGTGTTTTGCTGGATAAATAGTATATTCATAGCTTAAAAATATTTTTATTGACTATGTGTGGTTTTACTTTATAGAAAAATGTGGCATTTAGTACATCTACAACCACCACCTCTATCTAGTTCCAAGACATTGTCATCACCCCAAAATAAACCCCATTTCAGTTATATTATGGTTCATGTAGAATTTTAGAGAAGAACCTGGAAGCCGTGTTTTCATGACTTCCATGGGAAATATATTCATCCTACAGATGAACTTTTGAAACTCATCTGTTTATAAATTGAGACTGTCTTTTATAATAAGATATTTTCCCCTTAAGGTTATTAAAATAAATAATTTTAAGATTATTTGTAGCGTTCTTTTATTCATGCTATGATCTGTTCTGTTCTTAACATTGAGAGTTTGTTTAATTTAAAGCCAGTATTTTTCATTCTATTTGATAATTGCCTTAAGTACATTAAAGGTTCTTAATTTGGATGAAATGTGTATAAACAGAGTGACTATTCCTGAAAGCGATGCAACAAATGGCTTCAGAATCCCCCATCATACCCTATTCTCTATAGCTTCCTAGCCTTCAAGTATTTTTCCAATGTGAAAGTATTAAGCCCTCAGAGAGTGCTGCCATTCAAATGGCCTATCACACACATTGTCTCAACTTTCTTATTGTAAATATTCATGATAAAAGAAATTGGATTTCTTGACTCAGAAACGTGAAGTCTTTTTTGAGATTTTTTTTTCTGATTTTTCTCATCAAATCCCCCCAGTACGTAGTTGTGTATTTTAGTTGTGGGTCCTTCTAGTTGTGGCACGTGGGATGCCACCTCAGCGTGGCCTGATGAGCGGCGCTATGTCTGCGCCCAGGATCCGAACCAGTGAAACCCTGGGCCTCCGTAGCGGAGTGCGAAAACTTAACTACTCAGCCACGGGGCTGGCCCCATTTTGAGATTTATTAAAAAGCATAAGTTACTTGTTCTAGTGTTCTTGAAAGTCAAATTTTTTATTTTATTTTATTTTTTTTTTGGTGAGGAAGATTCACCTGAGCTAACATCTGTGCTGATCTTCCCCTACTTTGTGTGAGGGATGCCTCCACAGCATGGCTGATGAGTGGAGTAGGTCCACACCCTGGATCCAAACCTGTGAACCCCGGGCCGCTGAAGTGGAGCATGTGAAACTTTAACCACTCGGCCATGGGGGTGACCCCAAAACTTCATTTCTTTTTGTTCTCCCTCCTTATCCCTGTCTTAAGTACCTATTTATTTATTTTATTGAGGTACAATTCACATCACATAAATTAACAGTTTTAAAGTGAACACTTCAGTGGCATTTAGTACATCTACAACCACCACCACTCTAAAGCATTCACATCACCCCAAAATAACCCCCATACCTATTAAGCAATTACTCCCTGTTCCTTCTTCCCCATCAACCTTAGGGAAACTTTTCTAAAATTTGAAACTGGGAAATTAAAAAGTTAATAAAACTTTGAGATAACTGAGATATTATAAGACTAGCCTTAGAATACACTGTTCTAAATTCAGTAACGTGAAGAAATACATTCAGTATACTGATAGTGGAAAAATTAGATCACAAAATTGTATGCACATTGTAGTGTGTGTATATTTACAGCTTTAAGGGGAAAAAGGAACATTTGGTAGGAAACACACCAAAGTAACAGTGATTTTGCTGTAGATTTTCTTTTTTTCATTTAGAGGAAGAAAAAGTCTTCTGTAATTAAAGAAAAAAATAGCTCTAGGTAGTTAAAAGCTTGGGCCTAAACTTACTGTGGTAATATAATTATTTATTTCAGGATAATATTAAACTTCAACATATTTTTTTCCAGGTTGAGTTACAATGTTTCTTCATATTTACTAAGAGAAAAAGAAAGATTTGCTGGAGGACGAAATTATAATATTTGTAGTTTTTCATTCTTCCAATTTATACTTCAAACCATGAATACCTGTCAAGTAACTGTGTTCTAATTTATTATTATTTTTTTAAGATTGGCCCTGAGCTAACATCTGTTGCCGGTCATCTTTTTTCCTTCTCCCTAAAGCCCCAGTCCATAGTTGTCCATCCTAGTTGTAAGTCTTTCTAGTTCCTCTGTGTGGGATGCTGCCACAGCATGGCTTGATGAGCTGTGTGTAGGTCCCCACCCAGGATCCGAACCGGCAAACCCTGGGCTGCCAAAGCGGAGTACTTGAACTTAACCACTTGGCCATGGGGCCTGCCCTGTATTTCTTTTTAAAAATATACTTCAAAGGACTTTCTTTTCAAGCTATAAAAACATCACATTCTTGTTGCCATAAATCAGATAGCACAGGAGTGTACAAATGAAAAGCCAGCGATCTCCCCTCACAATAGTCTTTCTCACGTACCTGCCTAAAATAATTGTTAGCAGTTTGGCAGGTATTCTCAACCTTTTTGTCCTGTGGCTTACATGCGCATATAACAGGATTGGACCCGATTGAGTCAAAAACTCAAATGCCTTCAGGATGGCCTGGCAGTTAATGTAAATGTGTGAATGTGGTAAGGAAAGGTAGGGCCCTTGGCTAACTAGAAGGGGATTTCACCACTCAAAGCTCTCGTATTCAAAACTAGTTAGAACCCTGTGCTGGCCAGACAGGCCCAGTCCCTTGGGCAGTATCTCGCTGTGCTCTCCTTTTCTTCTTGGCCCTCCTCTCTCCTTCCATACAAATACAGAATGAAATGTCAGAGATTCCTTAATGAGGGAACCAGCAGGATGGTAAAGCTGATTCCAAGAGCATTTGAGGAATTGAGTGTATATAGACATTGAGGCAAGAATGTTGAAATAAATTGCTAGACTAGATACAAAATTGGTTAATGTCCTACAGGGTAGTAAAATCATAACCTTTGGAGTTTGCTGGACAGAAATTCTCTCTACCAAATGAAAATCTACAAGTTTACCTGTAACTTCATAGAATTTGGGTCCTAATCAACAGTAAGCAGCAGGTCAAACAATGATACTCTAATTAAGTATCTTTGGGAGGATCTATTAAACAATGTTTCATTATACACTGAAAGGGCTTACAGTTCTTGATTCATCTTATTTCCACCTTTGGTTAATTTTCTTTTTTCTTTCTTTTTTTTTTTTAGGTACCGAAATTCGGTATCTATTATTATTTTTGTTTTGCTTGGAAAGATTTTCCCTAAGCTAACATCTGTTGCCAATCTTTCTCTCTCTCTCTCTTTTTTTTTTTTTTTTGAGGAAGATTAGCCCTGAGCTAACTACTGCCAATCCTCCTCTTTTTGCTGAGGAAGACTGGCCCTGAGCTAACATCCATGCCCATCTTCCTCTACTTTATATGTGGGATGCCTACCACAGCAGGGCTTGCCACGCGGTGCCATGTCTGCATCCTGGATCCGAACTGGCGAACCCCCGGCCGCCGAAGCAGAACATGTGCACTTAACCGCTGCGCCACCAGGCCTGCCCCTCTTTTTTTTTATCTGCCCAAAGCCCCAGTACATAGTTGTATATTCTAGTTGTAACTTCTTCTAGTTTTTCTGTGTGAGCTGCCACCACAGCATGACTACTGGCAGATGGGTGGTGTGGTTCCACACCTGGGAACCGAACCCCGGGCCACCAAAGCAAAGCATGCCGAACTTTAACTACTAGGCCATCAGGGCTGGCTTGGTTCATTTTTCTTAATAGTGAGAAAGACTGTTGTGATAGGCCAAATCTTGGAAGAGCTTGGTATCCTATACTAAGAAATTTAACTTTCCTTCAACAGATGTTTCTTGGGGTTCCAGGTGGCGGCTGTGTTGTAGTCCTGAGTGTGTGGCTGTGCTGTGCTGCCCCTCCCTGGCCCCGAGGATGCTGACTGGTGTTTCTCAAGGGGATGTATTAGGGAGTCACCAGGGAAGCGGTTTTTCTCAAAATGGACATGTTCTTTGTCCTTCTGTCTGCACCTCAATGTAGATATCGCTGTCTGAGTAAAACAGGTGTTTTCAAAAAGCTTTCCAGGTGATTTTTATGTCCCTTCCCTTTTGAAAATCATCGTTAAGCTTAGTGGGCTTTTTTCCAGATTGAGTAAACAGCAAGCAAAATTGTAACCAATGTTTTAAAAGTTTCCATACCCCTTCTTGCCTGCCCCACCCCTCTAATACTTAAAATAATTAATGTCCTGATTACAACTCCAGCAAGAATTATATGCAATTGTCATATTTAGAATTATATTTAATGCGACCGAGACATTAATTTGGGAAAAACTGGGCATAGTCTTCCTAATTGTATTCTTAGGTTATGCCTCTCACTAATAAACTGAAAGAGGTGTCATTTATAGTAGTATATGATCTGCATGGCAAAGACACGTAATTAAAAAACTAGACTTTGGGGCCAGCCCCGGTTGCCTAGTGGTTAAGTTCAGTGCACTCTGCTTTGGTGGCCCAGATTCACTTCCTGGGGATGGACCTACACTGCTCTGTTAGTGGTCATGCTGTGCTGGCAACCCACATACTAAAAAATAAAGGAGGATTGGCACAGATATTAGCTCAGGGTGAATCTTCCTCAGCAAAAAAAAAAAAAAAAAAAAGACTTTAAAAAATGTTTTTAATAAGAAAACGGGCTGTCATTTACTTGTTAGAGACTGTGGTGAAAGGGAATAAGTGATAAAGGAGAAAAGTGTATACGTGTTTAACTTGTGGTTAAACTATTTGAGTTGAGTCGACAGTTAAAATGAGCAGCTGTTGTGGACATGCATTTAAATTCTGTTCAGTGTAACGTTATTGGGCAGCCATTTTGTGTATATGCCCTCACAAAGCCGGGATTTGTGATTTCAGTACACCTAAGCAGCCATGGAATTTACAACTGAACCACAGGATATGCTATTGCAGATTAGAGGAGAAACTGGGAAATAACATGATACAATTGGTATATTGTGTATTTTTCTTTTTATTAGTGTGCCGGTCCAACAAAAGCCCCTGGGTCTGTTTGACTTGTTCGAGTGTCCACTGTGGAAGGTAGGTGACATGCTTATTACCTCACTACCCTAAGTGCTTCTCTCAGTTTGCCTTTAAGCTTTATGTCAGAGTCTTATTGATTTGGATTTATTTAGCACCATTGCTTAATCATAGTGTGTACTTCTCTGTGGGGCTTCCTCTCCCCGTAGAATCCCTTTGTTTAGTGATAGAACTGAGGAAAATCTAGGGGGAAAAACCTTTTATATTGATACTCAGAAGAATTAATTTGATGATCAAGAGAATCTACTGGTAATATTTGAAAAGATGAAATAAGGGAACTTTGAAATCTGGAAATAAAAGTTTACCTTACGGTTGTTTTTTAAACCTTTCATCAGGTAAATTTAAGCCTGCGCAGAAGTAGAGAGTATAACTGAGATCCATATGTCCATTACCCAGCTTCCACAGTTATCAACACATGGCCAGTCTTCTTTCACCTATTTCCTACCCCATCCCCACCTTTTCTCACTTTTGAATCAAATCTCAGATATCACGTCATTCTTCTGAAAACAAAACAAAATGCTAAAATATTTACAGATAAAAGAATTCCCTTGAAAATGTCCTTACTGTGGAGTTCATTATTAATTGCTAAGATGTACCAAATGTTTCGATGTTCTGTGTACACGTTTTTGCTTTCCAGGGATTTAACTCCGCTCCCCCTCACCCCCCACCAAGCCAGAGCATTTCCTCCCCTTCTTAGCTTCAAAATGATGTTACTTAAATATTTTAGTAACTCTTTTCTTCTAACACAAAATCAAATAAATATCATCCTTTGTCTTCTTTTAGCCTGGTAGTAGCACATTTATTTCTATTGCTCTTTTAGCTTAGAAAACTCACTTCGAATTTACTTCAGAAGGTAATAGCTTAGCAGCAAGAAGTTGGGAAATCATTCTAAGTCACACAGACCAAAATCTGTATTGATTTATTTGGACCGTTTCCCCATTGTTATTTTTAAACCTGCGTTGCATGAGGAGAGCGTCTGTTAACTTTTGATTTTTCACATTTTGAGTCCTGGAATTGAGTATGTTTTCCATGTACACTTAAGAGTACCTTTGGAAAATGTTAACTGCATATCTTAATTGTGGCTGTTGTGGTTTTGAAATCTCTAGGATTTGGGGAACCTGAAAATACTTTGTACAGATAACATTTTTTTAAAAAAGAAGAAAAGTAGAAGCACTTAAATTCTGCACTTGAAGAGACAGATTCCTCTCCTAAATTTTGAGAGGTGAGAATTATAATGCAATGAAATCTATATAGTTCTGTTCTCCAGTTGTCTCATAGTGCTCTACAGCCTAAATCCTGAAGGTCGTATGCCAATGAAAAGACCTCACAAACTCTCAAAAAGTGGAGAGATGAGTGTTCTTAATAGCAAGCAACAAACAATTCTCTAAGTAGGTTTTGGAAAAATAAGTTGAAATTTTCTAGACTCTGCAGGTAGTCTGTTTCCAAATGCAAGCAATCTTAAATTTAGAAATTTGACATCATTTCAGAGAAATGTGATTAAGTAGATTAAACAGATAATGACAGTAGCCTGCATTTGGATCTTCATTTTACACAGCGGATTGGTTAATTTTCTTTTATCACGTAATCCTTTGGGTGTTGATTGCCATGGATTCTGATTTTTCAGTAATTTTAGACCCCTTGTCTGCAGGGAAGTCTTAAATGGAATCTTCTTTCAACCTGGAAACATAGTTTATCAGTAGCATGTTTGAGTTATATCTTCTGTTGGTCTTCAGGACACCATCCCATTTAAATTATTTTTCAGATTTTTGCAATTGTTGTTAGAAATCTGACATATATATTGACACTTTTTAGACTAAATTGTCTAGTTAAAATCTAACTAGATGAGGGAGATATTTATTTTTATGTTAGCCAGTTTATACATAACTGTTAACTCCTGACTGATGTATTTGAGTATTAGTCAAAACATTGCTAATCTTAGTGTCCGCAGTAATGCGTTTCTTACTTCATCACCGACACTGACAGTAACCATTTAAATGTCTAGTACCTTTGGAGACTACAGTGTGGTGGCTAAATGAACTGTATGTACTATGTACAAATGATCAGTTTTCAAAGACTTGAAAGTGGTAATGCCTTTATTATTATTATTATTATTATTCAGTACTGCTTTTTCTTTGATTCTGAAGGTACTCTATAAATATTACTGTTGTTTTTCATGGCACAGTATAAAATATATAAGCATAGGAAATTGAGCTGATTAGATATTGGACCTATATGATGCCTTGGAGTTGACCTTCTTAGTTAAATATAGCATGTTTCTTGACCTATGCAATGTATTACATGGAAGTATGTGCTTACGATGACCACTTTCTAAGCAATTATGTTATTTGGATTCTGAATAAATGGTAGTTAAGTGTATAAAGGAAAATGTGAATGAAACAATTGCCGACATTCATTCATTCATCCGTGCATTCAGAGCCACAGATTATTTAATCACCGAACAACCCACGAGATAGAAGTAGTATTATCTCCATGTTACAGATGAGGGTACAGAAGCACAGAGAGGTTAAGCAACTCCCCCAAGCCCACGTGGCCAGCATGTGAGAAAGCCTACTTTTGAACACAGGCAGCCTAGTTTTTGAGCTTATACTCTTAATCATTATTTTATTGTAAAAATCACTTTTATGGACAGAGGACCCGTGTACACACACGTGTTGGTTATATTTACTTCAATGGAAAAATGGGAAAGGAACACGATTATATTCTGCACTGGGGTTAGTAGTGCCTCTAATCCTTTCCTGGGGTATTGAGGCTGGACTTGAAGTTTCTCCTCCCTACTCACACCACTGTCTTCTTTTCCCCAAGGTAAGTGTTGCTCCTGTACCGTTAAGGCACCTCATGACCAAAATGTCACCTTAACTCTCTGAGCGTGTTTATTTTGGTACAATTTAACCAGCATTTGTCGTGACTGTTCTGAGTTTTCAATTAGGCCTTGCCTTCTACAAATTGGCTGCTTTCTAGGAAGTGGGAATTTTTTTGTTTTATTAGGGTCTTCATAGGTGATCACTTAGAACATTGTACAGTATTTAGGTGAAGGTGTAGATGAATTTAGGTGCACGCCATCTGCATATGAACCAATTTCAATTTCATTTTGCTTTCTGCAATACAGTCATTTATTAAATCTCAGTTGGAAAGGGTTACAAAATTTTTATGAGTATAGTCAACCTTTGATTATCTTTGTCCATGCAGAAAAATAACAGTTTATATAAGCTTAAGATGATTTGTGTTTTGTTTGGATTTTTTCTAAACAAATGTATTTCCATATGAGTGGAACTGATTATTCAGGCATTGAAATAAAAGATCTGAAGCCATATTGATGAGAAAGAGATGGAAGATTATCCTGTTTCCATATTATCCAGAGTATTCCATACTCTCATGTTTTATATTAAGCAGCAACCCAAGCAGAGCCCATGGCCCTGTGGGAGGTGGCTGAGTAATTTAGTTTACAAAGCTTGTCTTTGATAGTAGCCTGAGTTGGCAGTTAGCAGTCTGAGAAAAACTTAAAAAAAGGAAAAAGCTATATAGCAAAAGCATCAGCAAAGGAGCTGATAAGTGATAATATCAATGGTATTGCAACTGATTTGTATAGATAATGCCTTTCCTTGCCTGGCCCTACTCTTGTGTCTAATTAAAAGTTGACTATCATATATTTGATTGCAAAAAAGGAGCATATTTTAAGTACTCAACTTAAAAATCACTAAGTGATTAAGTGCTCTTATGGGATTGAATGCTCTTATAAGGAAGCATTCTTTCTCATTCTGACTTGATTACCATCTAATTTTATCATCCTCTCCTACTACTTTAACTTCCAAAGCAATATTTAGTTTAAAATAAATTTTCATTTGCTTTTTATAAGGTATGTGAATGGCCATGCAAAAAAACATTATGAAGATGCACAAACACCCTTAACCAACCATAAGAAATCAGAAAAGCAAGATAAAGCTCAGCACACAGTGTGTATGGATTGCAGTAGCTACAGTACATACTGGTAAGTATTAATGTTTTCTGGAAATGATAGTCCTTACTATGTGTGTGCAAGTGTTTTCTCATTTTCCTCCCTCTTTCTCCTCCTGCCCAGTCTCTAAGCCGGTTGCTACTGCCTTTACCTCCTTTTAGTCCTGTCAGCATTCACAGGGGACTGGAGCCATCAGAGTGCCTGTCCTTATTCATTCAGATTTTACTTGGCGTCGTTCTTTTCAGAGCTAGGCCTCCTCTTCTTTCCTTCCCCCTGTGCCTTGTCCATCCCAGTAAGCTTCAGGGAAATGAAAAGTATCTATTTCTTTGTTGCTGTTCCTTATAATTCCTTTTTGTCTTGTGTTGTTTTTAATAGAAGAATAATATCATAAAAACCTATGTTAAAGGAACAAAACAAAACCATGTTCCTATTGTGTCCAGTTAACATTTTGTTATATAATCTTAAAAATTTAACTTCTTTGTTTAAAAAATTATTTTGATGGTCTCCCCTCTTCCAGCACAGTTCCACTTTTCTCTTCTACTCCTATGTAGATAAATGTCAAAAATTTCATGTGTAGCCTTGAAGGCTATTTTTTTAAAGTATCACATCCTTTAAAAGGAGATTGGAGGCCCTGTTCTCCTTCTGTAAAACAATATATCCATGTCTCTTTCATATACATGAAAATAAAGTAAGTATCTATTTTTGTGACTACTTAGAACTAGGTTATTTAGGCTACAAATGATGTTTAACAATCCGTACCTCTTTAGTATGCTCAAAAAGTTGGTGTATTTTGTAGTTTTAACTTCTGTGTGAAGCAAATTTCTTTCCTTGACTAGTAAATTATGATGAATATTCTTTACTTGTTTTTAATCAGTTTACTCTCAATTCAAAAGGTTTTTGACACTGAAGGAAAAAAAGGAAAAAACCAAGCCATTTAAAGGATCCCTTTGGAGATATTTTTTTCCATACAGCCCTTGAATGTCACGTGAAGGCAGGGTGGGGATTTAAAGTCCAAATGTCACTTCTGATTCACACTTTCTACTGAAGTTGTATCCTAATCCTTTCTTCATTGTCCTTAGTTGATAATTGTATTATAGAAAAGTGTCCATCAAAAAGAAGAAAAAAAGATCAGTGGCTTCCCAACTCTTTTAAATTTCTACAGGTTTAACATTATTAAATTGTGGCTGTTGAATACAACATCTTAAAGTTTAGTCATTCAGGTCACTACTATTTCGTTGATTCTTTGTGTGGAAGATGTCCAGACCTGGAAGAGAGAGAAGCTAGAGGTAGATGATGATTTCAATAAAAATGAAAATCCTCCCAAGATTTTCACACGATGGCTAGTGCTCAGTGTATTGTTATTTGCTCTTGTAAAACACGCCTGCCTATGAAAGTTAACCGTTAACCAAGCTGTTAAAGTGTTCTCATTAGTTTTTCCCCTTTTCCTTCAGGAAACTTATATACTAGAATGGCATAGCTATCTAATTGACAGAACCATGTGTTTCTGTAAGGTTGTAAGTATTTCTTGTTGCCAGAAGTTAAGATCATTCGTGAGGTCTCTATCTCACAATCATTGTTGTAGGTCATGTCAACCTATACATACTAGATGCTGAAAACATTCATTCTCCTTGATTTTCAGTTAGCAATGTGCGTGAAATGCTTGATGGGGAAGTTTGAAAATACAATTAACTCTCTATGTGCAGTGGGTTTTCTCGTTATTGATAATATTATGAGGAAATGGTAACTCTTTGAGGAAATTTTAAGAATGGAGTGGAATAATATTCATAGATCTCTTTAAAAATGTAGATTATATACTTTAATGTCTTTATATATTGCATTTTGGAGGAATACCTTTATTAACTAGAATTGGAATTTAATTCATTTTTTATTGGTATAGTGTGCTGAAGTACATGCCGTTTCATGGCTGAATTTGAATTAAATGGCAGATATTCAACCTTGGGGAATATACACCATGGCAGAGACTTCTTGGCCAGTTGCCAGTCTTTGTGTGAAGTTATACAGAACTGCAAATGTGTGGACAGCCAGAGCTTCTGAAATGCAGGAAGGGAGCTGCAGCTGGTCACATTACCGTCTCATTTGTGGGTTTTAGAACAAAATGCCAGGCAGTCACCCTGCAGCATTACACTGAGGGCCTAAAAGGAATCTGAATGTTAATTTAAACCACAGCTTCATCAGTTTACAACGTAGTAAACTGATGAAGCTGTGGTTTAAATTAACATTTTCCCCACACCTTGCTATGATTAGGAGACAAACAGAAAACGATTTCTTCTTTCTGTATGGGTGTATGTGTTCGTGTGTGTGTAGTTTCCAGTGCACTTTAGTAGTTTCACTTTAGTTTGTAAATTTTCTTTGTACATGAATTTCTTGTGGTTAGACCAAATGGTTTGCTTCAGAAGTAGAATGTTTGTGTGTTCTGTTTAATCTATTTGCTTATTAATTATTATGCTTGTCATCAAAATATTTTGACTTTAGCTAATGTTAAAGCTCCTTTTTGGGGCTGGCCCCGTGGCCGAGTAGTTAAGTTCCCGTGCTCCGCTTCGGCGGCCTGGGATTTCACCCTTTGGGATCCTGGGCACGGACATGGCACCGCTCACCAGGCCGTGTTGAGGCGGCATCCCCCATAGCAAAACCAGAGGACCTACAGCTACAGTATACAGCTTGTACTGGGGGCTTTGGGGAGAAGAAGGAGGGAAAAAAAAGATTGGCAACAGATGTTAGCTCAGGTGCCAATCTTTAAAATAAAAAACAAAGTTCCTTTTCCATGTGCTCTGTGCTCTGAAGTTGAAGCATGCTCTGGGGCTTACGGTTTTTCTATCCTTATTTTCCCCTTTCCAAGAGTCCCTGCCCTGTCCTAGCTTTGCATATCCTTTATGAAGGTCTCACTGAACTGTCCCCACTCCTGCCACCCAGCTCAAATTGTAGCTGGATGTAATCTTGCCTAAACTCACAGTTCTTAGGAAACTAGTAATTTCCTGCTGCACGTTAGTTATTTGTAAATGTCCTTGGGGACTGCAGGAACCATGTGTCAGATCCTCGGGTCTTTCTTGGTACTCAGCATCTGGTGCAGAGTAGGCACTATATGTTTGAGAGATTGAATTTTGCTAACTATCTTCTGAAAATGGGGAAGGTTACACCAAATCTATAACATTGTGTCCTCTGATCATCTTGGAGGACTGAAGAGCCACAGAATGTTTTTCCTGAGGAAGACCTAAATCATGGCATATGTGAGCTATTTCATTTACCTTCCAAGAGGGACCCCCTTGCAGAGCAGCTCACTTCCCTTCTGATATAAACAAGGCGTCTCCAAGAAGCACATAATAAACAAACAGAACAGCATAAAATGGGTCACTCTTTCAAAAGAGGGAAAGCAACACCAAAAGGAATAATTTTGATTTGGCACAAATCCACTCCTTTAGGAGATAAGTCACATTAACTGAGCTAGAGGTAAGTGAAAATTTCAATAAAAATGAAAATCTTCCCAAGATTTTCAAACAAGGACTAGTGTTCAGTTTATTGTTTAAGTAATATTTCCTTTCCTCCCACACCAACTTCCCACCCCGCAGTCAATACAAATGGAATCATATGTGGTGTACATTATTATATTGGAAAAAAAAAGATTAAAATTGATCGAAAAGAAATGTGGGACAGAAACAAAGATTAAAATTAGAAACTGTCATTTGATTTCTTATGTAGATAGACATTTGGAATTAATAATTTTAAAATGCTGAAAAAATAACTTTTGACATCTGACATAGTTTTGTCAACTTTGATGCTTATCAGCAATAGCTGAATTTCTAAGAATATGAAAGTATGAAAGGAATATTAAAACTAAATTACTAGAATTTTTCCTTCCTGGTAGAGCAATGTTTTAAAGCACCCCTTCAAACAAAGTAATATTATGAAATGTGAATCAATTGATTTGTCTAGAAAAAAGACTTGTATTTCAGATTTTAAACACCTGTAACAAATAGCAGTTTTAATATTAAAACGAATAAAAATAAAGTTCTTATCTGTTAAATTGATACTGAATCGTTTCAAAGGCAGTTGTGATTAAAAATTAAAAAGGGGTTAGGGCTGGCCCCGTGGCCGAGTGGTTAAGTTTGCGCACTCCGCTGCAGGCTGCCCAGTGTTTCGTTGGTTCGAATCCTGGGCGCGGACATGGCACTGCTCATCAAACCACGCTGAGGCAGCCTCACCACGCTGAGGCAGCATCCCACATGCCACAACTAGAAGGACCCACAACGAAGAATATACAACTATGTACTGGGGGGCTTTGGGGAGAAAAAGGAAAAAAAAAAATCTTTAAAAAAAAATTAAAGAGGAGAAAATCTTTTGTTGGCTATCATTATATACTATTTGGACACAAATTTTCAGTGTTGTAAAGATTAGAGAATAGGGAGAGTTTTGTTTATTTAAAAAGAGAAACTTTTTATTAGGTGTGGTCTGAAAACATGCTCTTCCTTAATAAACTGGTCCTTGTCTGCTTTTAACAAAGGATGTAGGTTTCCTCTGCAGGTATTATTCTAATTTTCCAAAATTGGTTTATTTGATGGGAACACATCAAATTTTAAGAAAAGAGAATTTAGAAATAAGCTTGCTTTCTGACAGAGTTCTTTTGGATTTTAACTTTTCTTGGTTTGGAATAGACGAAATCACTAGAATATCACTTGTTGGTTTTGTTCCCCTGTATCTATCTTTTATAATAAAACCAGAGATCAGATTTGCCTCTAGATATCAAAATATTATGCAAGGGAATAAAAAGGAATTTAAAACTTATTGACTGATCTGCCATTGTTCCCTTCTTGAAGGGTACTTTTTGCATGAAAGTTTTTATTTGGGGTTTTTTTGATATTAGTATTATACATGACTTACTGCATAAAAATCATTCTGTAGCTAGTAGATTAAAGGAGTTGTTTCTTTACTGTTGTATTAAAAATTAGATTCATTTGTATGATGATTGCTTCTTGATTCGGGTGGGTGAAAAATGGTTTGATCTGGGCATATTTTCTTAG